TCCTAATTGAGATTCGCTGCGTGGAGTGCAGGGACCTCGTCAGCGCTCGCGAATCTGCTGCCCAACAGCCAGTGTTGGCGAATTTGCAGCGCTCCGCCCCAGGTCAGCCAGGTCGCCAAGAGGAAATTCGTTCCCGGTACAAAAGAACTCAATGAGCCCTAAACAAACTTCTATCACATGTACATATGTATATTATTATTATTTCTTACAGTTAATTATGTAGATTTATTTAAATAAAAATTACTATATCCTTTGGCGCTCGACTCTGATCGATTTCTGATTTAGCACGCGACTTATAAATTTGAAAATCTATTAACTTGTAAATGTTGAGAAATATAAGGATAAACAATAAATGAGTTAAACAAAGGTTCAAATTTAAACAAAATCTCACCCCCCTCCATCCTCTCCCTTCATCTCCTCCATCATTTTTTCAAAGGTTAAACACGCTAATATTTATAACCGACTATTCCCCTCGTGAAATTAAAATCAATAGTAATTAACTATACATACAAAATTCCCTAATCAAGGCAGCGTATCTCCAAAAAAGTATTCCTTTTTCTATCTGTTTTTTCTTACCGCTTCTTACTACTGTCCAATCATAAACTGTGACTCGTCTATGCTGGGAGGCGGTATACATCGATCACTATGTTGATGATCAAAAAACAGCGTTTAACGTCTTTCATTTTAACATAGCTTTCGGTTATTTTCAATATGTGGTGCACTTTGGAACTCTTTTGGACATAATTTCACTAGGGAATAGCTCTATTAAATACCACTCGTGTTTTGGAAATTCTCAGATAAATTCCAAAGCACTCATGATATTACCTATGGTAAATAGAAGAATAACAGGAATTGTATTTATTCGGAAGACTTCATTGACGAAAGTCTTCAAAACAACAAAATCACACAGGGCTATTCATAAGGTTTTTTTAACTGTCAATTTTGGCACTAGGCTACTTTGTCATTTAGTTATTATCCCTTCCACACACACGTACTGCGTATGGGGACTCCCCGTTCTCCCCGTTCTGTTGGGCGCATACAGACTGCATCTTGCGCTTAACTATTTCTAAGCCTTTTACCTCCCTCCTCAATTGCAGTCGCATCAAGAGTTTCAAGAGTATTTTGAATTTTATTTTCCGTTGTATACATTTGATACATTAATGAACTAAGAAGGCGTAGATTAACAATACAGAACCGATCACCCCCTGTCTCTCCCCTCCGTCTAAAGGTTACGACGCCCCGAAGGCTACTTGCCCAATAGCTAACTCTACAAGGACTTCTAAAAGGATTTCTGTTTATATTTATAATACGAGGTCAAGATCATGTAGAGAATCGTGATGGTAGGTTAATAAAAAGTCATTTTTTTTACAGTGCCAACGTTTAGGCCATTTATTTGACCTGTTTCGGGCTGTAGTTAAATGTTAAGTTATGCTATTAATTTATGCAATTTTATATAGTTGTGTTTCTCCCGCAAATGGTGTCTTGGTTCATGATTTCAATCATGAACAAAGACACCGCTGCTTCCCTTATAGTTGTATTAATTGCATTTGTTTTATGCCTTAAAACGTATTATAATTAACGTGAGACTTAATTGGTGGTGCAGAATGCACATTACAATAAGTTTGGGTATAATTTTTGTAATGAAAGAAGGACGCTTAGGCAAGAAAATTTCTGACAAACCGTGCACATGCCGTCGTGGATGACCCAAAGGCTCCGAGCCTACTACCTCATCTTATTGGATTCCAGAATATATTTAAGATCAGTTTTAAATATTTTCTTCGTAATCTAAAAGATTCAATCCATATATTATTGATGAAAAATATTTTCATTTTTTAGAAGATAATAGTAATTACTTCAGCAAATGTTGAAAGATTTTAAAAATAAACATCAGCGACACGTAACACGAAACTATGACCCCTCTTCCTCTACGTGACGCAGGTAACGATGCCTCAAACACCCTCCTCCCCCTCTTCAGCGTTACGTAATTTATGGATGAGCCCTTTGTCAATTTTGCCACTCGCAGGGTGTCGGCTGGCTCCCCCTCGAGATCACTTAACGTTCGCTCAGCCGAGTGCCCTGTCTCGCGAGAGCAAGGTCGCACGCGGAGAGGTAGGCAGATGAAAACTATGAGCGCAGGCGTGGTCAGACGCATTTCCCACTAAATTCTAAATCTTCTGAGTAATAATAAAAGCAAAATAAATAGCAAAGTAATAACGAAGCAATAAATAGCTAAGTAATAATGAAGCAAAGTAATAATTTAATGAAAGGACAAACTTACATAATAATGCATAGCAACGAGTCCAATTAAAGGGTGAGTTTGTTCGTTTTTCACTTTAATTCATTGATGAACAAATTCATTTCATTGTAGAATAAGAACACAAATTTTATTCTCCCACTACATGAAGAATTGGTTCGCTTTACTATAAAACATATAAATGCAAGGAACAAAAGTAAGAGATCAACGCAAAAAACCAATACGAATATGAAGTAATTTAAATGTAATATATAGTAATTATTACATTGAAGACTTGATGTTTCAATTTCGATTTCTATCTAGAGAGAGGAGCGTCGGCGAACGTTAGACGCATTCCGAAAATCGTTGCGGAAAGGCGCGGAAAACCTGGCTTCGGACGAAACATGGAAAGTATTTTTTTCTACTGTTTCTTTCCAGATATATTAAAAATACTTATTTCGGTTCAATAGTCTCTTCGAGTACTTTATAATGCATTCTTCCATTTAGAAAATCGAAGTTATATCGACATCTCAAAAATGAAAAGAGGTACAAAGTAGAAAACTAACTTTGTTACTTCTGCAATCGCCTGCCTACTACAACTTGCTGCACACGGCTATTTCAAACGGCTTCGAAAATATTCTCTGTGGTCAATACAATATTTTTTTCTTTTCACATTTGTATGAAACCTCGTTAGTATATATACGCAATTATTTCTTGGTACCATGCTCCATTATCATTTTCACCGGCGGTTTTCCAGTCTGTGTTCCCAAATACGTTGAAAAGTTCCAAATGTCCCGCTGCCTCGCCTTGAGGTCCTGTCGTGGATCGTAGCAATCACGTCAAGTATAGTGCGCCAGTAAAGTATCGCCGTATTGCTTCCAATGGTAACGCGTACTAATTGCAAACGTGTTACGGCTTTGTTACACTAAAACCAATAATGAAACTAAAACTGACATTTTACTGCATACGCAGCCTTTAATATGGTTTGTAACATTGAATCTATGTATCTTAATGCCCTTGAGACAAATAGTTGCTATAGCAATATAGGAGGCTGCAGATTTTTCTGGTTGTGGAGTCATGCCCAAAACTAATTACGCAACCAGCGATTTCCTTTGTATTAATTCTCTCTGAACTACTAATGTAATGAAAATAAGCCTAACTCGTCAATGGCAATAAGTTTAATTCTCGTATTCAATTTATCAGGAAGAAGAGTGCCTGTCAAATGTATTTTTAATAGGTAATTCACTGTGTTCGTAGCCTCACGACTCCATGCCTAGCGAAATATCTGTTTATCCTATGCCATTTTAAGGCTTCTTATGGAACTGCTTGCAAACTGCAGTCTTGCAACTAGACCTTTTAATATAAAGCATTTCAAAAAAATTCAGTTCATGTAATTTTTAAAAATCAAAAGAGTACAACAAAATGGTGTTTATGCCCGGTGTTTATATCAGTCCACTACCCGTGCAGAAAGTTTAAAGAAAAAAAACCTTAAGCAGTTTTTGAGAATATTTGGTTTTAAAATTGCTCCAATTGCATTAAAATTTCGCGAAAATTTAATATTTAAAAAAAATATGACATTAAGTGAACTAATTGTGAAGAAAAAAGGTGAAAGTAGAGAACACAGTACACCCTTAGAGAAGTGGCGTCATGAGGGGAAGGAGATAGTGAGATGACAGAGCAGGTAAACTTTTTAAGCATTATTGTATATATTAGTTTCAATGCCAATACTTGTTCTTTCCCAAATTCATCTTAATGTTCAATCTCTCCCTCCCAGTGGTTTGTTCCCTTGTTAATGTCAGAATGAAATGTATTTATTGCAAGACCGCGACGGAGGGCAATTATTGGTGTCAATTGCCCAAACACGGAGTAACGCAAATCCCTACCACAGGTTGTAAAACCCTCAAAAAGCTCATATCCACCCATTTGTAAATACCCCCTTTATTGTGTCACATTCATTCAAGTTCCCATCGCCGTCAGTTGAGTCGCATACAAGCCGATAACAATATAATAATACAATTTATTATTTTTATAGCGCCTGACAGTATTTCTAATTATATTCGCATTTGATCAATTGAAAGTAAAACTAATTTTTCATATTTCGACTCCAAGTGTCGCAAAGAAGATTGGCGAAACGAAAAGAAAGAATGAGTGATGAAAACCAAGGCATTCTGTTTCGTCATTCAAACGCACAATGACACTTTTTAATTAATTTAAAATTGTATTTGGGGCATTTAGCAATTGTTATTTTATTGTTGTGTAAATTAAACTGCATTGGACAGGCTCAAGAAAGCTAATATTAACTGCGTTGGCAGGAATCTCGGCCTCCAACTCTGATCTACGCAAGGCGCAAGCATTAAACGTTAGTTAAAAAGGTTCGACACCTGTAGTGAGCCGGGAATTTGAGGGTATTTCGTTCTGTCAGAAAACAATTTAAGCCTGTATCATGCATCTGAATATTTTGGTGCAGCTATTTATCTCTATTCCTTAATATTAATTGACTCAATAATGTCATCGGTGAAGTCTAAAACATTCGCCGAATGCGACAAGAAAGTTTTTTTTTGAGAATCATTTAAAGCGTTAGGTTCCGGGCCACTATTTGAGAATCTTTTAAATAGAAAGTTTTATCTAGAAAGGCATTTCTTATTAGTTGGAAAAATGCTGATTTACAGTTTTCGCAATATTAATTCGGAACGTAAGAATCAGTATTCTGTTCAGTTTTGAGATAAAATATTTTAAAGCTGCGTATTTTGTTTTTTACTTTCTCGTATATATGCCATAGTGATATTCCAACGTTTTATCGATTTTTGCAATGCTGCCGAAAAATCGATTCGTGATTTTAAAAGGAAATAAGGTTTTGGATACCTGATACCGAAAAACATGTTTTTAAATCGGCCGGACCGTTCGTCTGTGCGTGAAACAACACTGGCGGATAACTTCTCGTAGGAATTTCCAAAATGAATATTCTTTTCAGGGGATCGATCTGGCTCGATTCAAGCCCTTCAGCTTTGTAAAGAATACTTAAAATTTTTTATCAGGCCCCAGTAATACTTTTATAGATTTTCACTATTACTCTGAAGTTTTAGAAAATTGCAAGTGTTTTGAATTTTTTGCCCCCCCCCCCTACTTACAAAAACTGGACTATGGCTGAAGTCTACTATACGGTGAACAACTCAAAGAAGTCGTTTAAACCGGCCCACTTTCGCGCCGCTCGGCTGAGGGGGAATAATTCCACGGTGGAGGGGATGAGCGGGAGATTTTTCCCGCGGGTCGGGAGGGTGAGGAGCAAATACATTAACTTAGTACATACATGTAAAAAGCAAAGCGTGAATCGATTTAAATTAATTATTGTGTAGGAAAAAAGATATCGACAACTTCAATGCAAATAATTTTAATATGTTTCCCCCGATAATTCTGGTCATAATTGATGAGAGAACGGAAATTTCACACTTCATGCTCGTTTGCGGGGCTCCATTACGAAATTGTCAATTCTTTCGATCTCGATGATGGCTGTGCTTGCATGATAACCTGTGTAGAGTTTCGTGCGTTTTCGGGGTTGCTATCGCTCGTTTCTTGCGTTCTTCAGCATAATTCTGTGATTTCGTTTTGAATGACGAGATGGTCTTGTGTTGATGATGGTGAGAATAATTATGTTTTTCTAAGTGTTAGTGCCGAAGTGTGCTGTTTTGCGTAATTGAATGCGGAAGCATGATTTGCAGAGCTTCAGAGTATTTAGTCCCCGGTCCAGATGATCTGTCTGGTGCCATACTTAAGGTCCAGCGTTGAGGTTAGGGCCTAACGCGAAATCTGTATGCCGTGTGTGATCGTTAATACGATGTAGTTTAGGCCAAGGTGCAGTAAGTAAGATGCCAGGTGATTTACTCTTTCGAGTACTCGCACCAGCCTGGAGCATTTTGTATTTAGGTGCGGTCGTTGAGTGAAGGTTGAAAGGGTGTTCCTCAGTGCCGCGCTCCTTAAGAGCGCGGGCCTCCACCACTTTACTAGCTATGAAGATATCGTCCCACCTATCGTGTAAGTGATTTATTGCGATTATATCAGAGCTACGAGAAGCTGAATTTATGAACCGAGGTTAGGTGCTTACAGGAGACTCCCAAGCCTCGCTCTGCCCTCTCATTCTACCCAGACTGATCTTCCGTCTTACCCGCTCATGACGGCACCTTCGTGCTGAGAGCGGCATTGTCCCCAGATGTAGCGTGGCTGCTAGTGTCGTGTCGTGCTACTTTTCACCTTTTTTCTTCACAAATTAGTTCACTTAAGTGTCATGATTTTTTTCAATAATAGTTAAATTTTACGACGAAAAGTTTTAATGCAAAATTTTTGGAGCAATTTTAAAACCAAATATCTCAAAAACTGCTGAAGGTTTTTTTTCTTTAAACCTTTCTGCACGAGGTAGTGGATCTGATATAAACACCGGGCGACATATACCCACCAATGTGTTTGCTTGTATTCTTTCTTGATTTTTAAACTAAAATTAGACACCTGACCACTGAATTTTTTTGAAAAGCTTTATATTAAAAGGTCTAGTTGCAAGGGACTTGCAGTTTGCAAGCAGTCCATAAGAAGCCTTAAAAATGGCATAGGATAAACAGATATTTCGTAGGCATGGAGTCGCTTTGAGCTAACGAACACAGTGAATTACCTTAGAGTAAAAATGACATTTGACATTCCCGACTCTTTCTTCCTGATAAATTGAATACTAGAATCCTAAACTTATGTCAATTGACGAAGTTAGCGCTTATTTTCAATTACATTAGCTAGTCCCGAGAGAGAATTGAATACAAAGGAAATCGCTGTTACGTACGTAAATATTAAGTTTTGAGGGGTCTTTGATGACTCCACCCCAACCCATTGACCAAAACCCTCAGTGCACATTCCTCCTATATTGCTATATAGGAAAACTATTTGTCTCAAGGGCATTAAGATGTACAAGATTCAGATGTTACAAACCATAGTTAAAAGGCCCCCCTATGACAGTAAAATGTCAGTTTTAGTTTCATTAATTGGTGTGTGTATTGAGTAAACAGAAGCCGTAACACGGTGTTTGCTCCCTATGTAGTACGCGTTACCATTGGAAGCAATACGGCCCGATAAACTTTGACTTGTGCCTCCCTGCGGACACCCACAAGATTACTGCCCGACGTGGAGTTGGCACAAGAACGATCCGACCAGAAGAACCTCAAAGGCGAGTGGCGAGCGGACATTGGAACTTTTATCTAAACGTGATTTTGCGGGAACACAGGACGTGGAACCAACCGTCCTCCCGTTGAAAAATGACTCAATGGAGCTCCATAAAGGATACCAAACCCAGATACTTGGCGGTGAAACCAGTGTTAAAATCCACTAAGAGACGATCCCATTCATTAACAAACTGTTGAAAAAGAAAGAAAAACTATAGCCGACGCACACCGAAAGTTATTACCCTCGAAGCCCCTGGTGAGAGAGTGAGCCGTGTGTATGCAGGCAAGTTGTAGTAGGGCAGGCTATTTTAGCAGAAAGTAACAGAAGTTGAGATTTATCTACTTGAAGGTGTACCTTTAATGGTTCAATGTGTTTGAACCGATGTACCCGAGCTAAACTTCGATTTTCCAACTTCCACCCTGTAAGAATGCATTGTAAAGTACTCGAAGACCACCTTGAACCGAAATAAGTATTTTTAATATATCTGGAAAGAAACAGTAGAAAAAAATACCCACATGTTTCGTCCGAAAGCCAGGTTATTACTCGCCTCCAGCAACAGATGTAATTCAATGGCGGTTCTATCCCAACGTCCTGCGTACACGACGCTCCTCTCTCTAGATAGAAAGCGAATTGAAAACATCAAGATGCGCCATCAAATTCGAATAATCGATTACTTAAAACCCATATAATTACTTAAATTACTTCATATTCGTGTATCTATTGTTTCTCAGCCCCGTCTCCTGCTATGCCTCACTTACTTTTTGTTTCCATTAGGTCTATCATGATATGTTCTTGTTTTTAAAATATAATAGTAACAAGCGAATATCACAATTGTGCGACATGCATCGTTAGAATTGTGTGAGTGAAAATAAAATCGCCCTAAAATAATGCGTTGATACTTATGTCTGATATCTAACATTTGAAATGAATCTTTGAGATTTAACAAATTCTATCAGTGAGAAATTTCCAAAGTGAAAAAAAAAACGAACAAAAACTTTCAACACATTTAAATCATGGACACTCGGTTTGCTCTAGCAATTATATATGTAAGTTTTTTCTCCTACATTTGAAATATTAATTACCTTACGCCTTTCAACTTAAATTACATAAGCATATTATTAGCTAATGATCAGTATATGACTTTGACTTAAAATTATTTTTTTTGTCTCTTTTTTATTATTCTACTCAGAAAGATTTATAAATTTTAGTGGGAAATGCGTCTGACCTAACGCTCTGGCGACTTCAATAGTAATTTTCGAGTAACTGGGGTTCCTACCTCATTCCCGCGTGCGACCTGCTCTGCGCGAGTAGACCAGGGCACATCGGTCTTGACCATGCCCCGAACCGTCTTAGTAATAATCAAGATGCGTGGACAAAGCCAAATCTCTGACATCCCTAGGCGTTCAGTTGGGCCAAAAATGAATCGAAACGAGCCCTCTGAAAATCCCATATATAAGTTATCCCTGAGAGCCAATCTGAAAAGGGGAGGAGGCTGTGTGAAGGCATCTGATATAAGCCGTTGTTGTCTCGTGCCAACACCGATAGAGGAAGAGTATTTGTTGCGAGTCAGTTATGACTGTTAGTTACAATGTGGCATTTCTTCAGTCTTCAAAAATATTATATTTTTATAAATCTCGTTAATCATCACATTGTGTCATGACCAGGTGCCTTGATGAATTTTAACTCCCATTACCTCCTTCCTAAAACAATGAAAACCTCTTATTCTCCAAAAATCAATCACAAGTATATGGTAATGAATCTTGTTAGAATATACGAACGAATGATAATTATCTCTAAAACTAAGGTTCCTTTATAAAATATAATTCCATATGGATAATTTCTGAACAGAATTCCCAGAATGCAATTGGATACGTATAAGATGCCGTCGAAGCTCCTTAATTTGAGGTCATTCTCACACGGGCCTATGCGTGCACGGTGTTTGCTTCAAGAATCCTGGAATTACTATGCACTTCTCTGAGTCGTCCGCTTCATTATTCATGTTGACACTCTAAAGAGATAAAATATATTTCTCCCAATACATGAATCATTTGTAATTGGTGCGCTAGATCTGCATGACCACCAATTAGAGTCTCACAAAAATGTAGGATTTTATATGATACGTTTTTAACCGTACAATGCGATTAAAAACGAAGTACCTGCAAGATTGTAGAAATGACCAACTATAAGGGAAAGCAGCATAAACTTGGTCCACTTAAAATAAGGTGTCTGTTGTTCATGATTGAAATCATTGAACCAAGACCAACCATTTGCGGAGAAACACAACTAAATAATAAAATTGCATAAATTATAGCATAACTTAACATTTAACTACAGCCCTAAAACAGTCACAATAATATAACCCTGAAATCCAAACGTTGCACTGCTAATAAGCCCAAAATAAAAGAAATAGAAGACTTTTTATAAGTTAATAACTACTACCATCACGTTCTCTACATTGTACTGATTGTGCTTTAAAGCCATTAACCACATTACAGGTATTCTTAGTTTCCAAACAAATATTAAATTTGATCCTTTTAAAAATAATTAAAACAGAATATAATAAACACTCCATTAATCTTCTATTTAGAAGTCTACTGTTGCAGAGTTAGAAACATATACATCTTGTGGCTAAGGAGAACCTAACCTTCTGGTGTAGAGCGTGCCGATAATACCCTTCCTACGTACGAGGGAGAGACCAGGGGGTGATCGGCAGTTCTGTATTTTAATCTACGCCTTCTTAGTTCATTAATGTATCTCAAATGTATACAACGGAAAAATAAAATTCAAAAAATACTCTTTGAAACTCTTGAGGCGACTGCCAATTAGGAAGGGCAAGGAGTTAAAAAAAATCTCTTTCCTG